TTCACAGAAAACATCACCCTGCACTCACACTGATGCTAACTAGGGATTCACCTGCACGGATGAAACGTTCTGGGGCCTGAAACAGGCAGTCTGGGCTTAGAAACCTCCAGCATGAATAATGAATAGTACTGCATCTTATATTTTATTTTAGGAACACTTTGGGGCTGTTGCCTCATCAGTAAAGGAGATGATGATAGGCTAACCTCTCAGGACTCTTGTGAGGATTCAATGAATTAAAACACGTAACATGTTCGGAGAGTGCCGGACATTTGGTAAGCATTCCAAATGTCAGCTATTGTTAAAATGTTTCTCACTTGGAATTAATCTTTCTTGAGCCCTTGGTGGGGCGAGTTATATCTAAATGAATCCTTTGCACTTTGGACGTGCTGCCAGGAGAGACCAGTCCTTGGAGGGCATCATGCCTGGTAGAGGGGCAGCAAAAAAAAGGGGAAGACCCTCGACAAGATGGATTGACACAGTGGCTGCAGCCATGGGTTCAAACCTAAGAACGATTGTAAGGCTGGAGCAGGACCTGGCAGGGTTTTGCTGTTGCCTATGGGGTGGCTATGACTCAGAAACAATGCGACAGCACCTAACGACGAGGACATGATTCACTTCCGTTGAGGATGTTAATTTTCAGGCCTACATGGAGTGTTTTCTTAGTGCAACTTTGAAGCCAGTCCACTTCTGGAGCCTGAGAAGGATGGAAACTATTCTTGGCTTGTCACTCCAGTTCAGCAGACTTGGTGAGCAATCTCTGGCCATCATCACAGACAACATTGTATCTTATTTTTTCCTTTCCCACTTGCACTGACAAACAGTATCAAAGTTTTACTTGGGATGGTCACAAGAGTCTGAGAACACTGGACTTACAGGTAAAACATCAGAATTCTGCAGCTTGACCGCAGCAACGGATGCCTCCTTAGTCCTGCCAGGTTTCTAAGGGTCAAACTTTTGCTCCTCTTATTCTCATTCTTTAACCACATCCAGTCTATCAGAAATCCCGTGGCTTGCCTTTCAAAAACTAGCCAGTAATCAATTCCTTTAGCTGCCTTATCCAGTTCCCTGCTTCAGCTGGCAAGGCTCACTTCCTGCACGACACCCCCAAGAAGCCACATGGACCTACCCCGATGCAGCCCTGGGTGCTGGAACAGCCGTGTGGAGACCCCTGCCAGCGCTGAGATGCTTACACGTTCACTGATTTGATTTTCCTCCTGCAGTCAGCATCATAGTGTGTTTTGTGAGATGGAGGAGGACTTCGTGGATTGGACTTGTGGGCTTGCGCAGCACTGGGTTGGGATGTTTTCTTGATGTGCACTTACCCTTTATATAAAACTCTCTCTTACGCATGAGTTTCTGTAGATCTGTTTCTTTAAAGCTCCCAGACTAACACACGCAGTCATCCAGTCAGTTCTGATTCCTATCGATTGGAGAGGGTAAGAACTGCCCCTTTGGGTTTCTGAAACTTTATGGAAGTAGAAAACCTCATCTTTCTTAGGGAGGAACAGCTGGTGGTTTTCAATTGGTGACCTTGTGGTTAGACTCAAGTCAAGGATTTTGTCTTGCATGGATCCACAATCAATGCTCATGGAAGCAGCAGTCAAGAGATCAAATGACACATTGCATGCGGTAAATCTGCTACACAAGACTTCACGAGTGTTGAAAAGCAGGGAGGTTACTTTGAAGACTAAGTAAAGTTGGACAATGAATAAGGAAGAATGAAGAAGAATCAATGTAATTGAACTGGGGTGCTGGAGAAGAATATTAAAAAGTACCATGTACTGCCAGAAGGACAAACAAATCTATCTTGGAAGAACAGCCAGAGTGCTCATTAAAGGATGGTGAAACCTCCTCCTACATATTTTGGACATGTGGTCAGGAGACACCAGTCCCTAGAGAAGGACATCCTATTTAAAAGAGCAGTGAAAATGTGGACACCGCTCAAGATGGATTGACACCACGTCTACACAGTGCACTCAAGCCTGGGAACCATTGTGGGGATGGTGCAGGACTGGCTACTGTCTGGTTCTGTCGTGTATAGGGTCATTATGTGTTGGAACCAACCAGACGGTACCTAACAACACAACCGTACCATAATATTGATCTTATTGCTTCCCAGAAACCCTGGGTCGAAGCCATCACGTTACCTTGATTGCTGCAATACTTTTGACTAGTCTCTGAGCTTCTCCCTTTGCACCTGATAGCCTGTTCACAACACAGTGGCCACTACGATCGTTTTAAAAGCCAAGCCATGTAAGATCACTCCTATAGCAACTTCCCATTTCATTCACAGTAACAGCTAAGTCCTTCACAAAAAAGTCAATTAAGGGCCTAAGACTTCTCGCTCCATCACCAGTATTCATCCATCCCCCTGACCCTCTCTCGGGCTTATTTGCTGACAGGAATGGGCTTCTCTCATATCAGAGCCTGGTTACCTGTTCCCTCACTTCTTCCTCAAGTCTTTGTTAAAATGCTCCCTCTGATAGGTCATCGATCCTGTCCATTTAATTTACACATGTACACAAGCATTCCCCACCTCCAGGTCTAGCATTTATCATTATGCAATACAGAAATATATCAAGTAGGGTCTCTAGTACTTTTCAACAAATTCCCAAGCTATGCTGGTGGTTTTTGGAACCAGATCGAGTCCTACCTCTATAGGGAAAACTCCCCTCCCAGATTCTCCATCCTTCTAATTTAGTTACACCACTCCATGCTTGGGGAGTAGGGGAACTCCCCTTCAGTTTGCTAAAAAACAACGAATGCTTGTACTTCCTAAAAGGGAAGGTCTGGGGTAGGGGTAGAGATTTGCCTTTCTAGTCGTATCTCTATACAAATGACAAAGTTAAATACGTAATAAGTTGCTGATTAAGTTTGCATGTTTTCCTCCATTATAATGTAAACTTTACAAGGCAAACGGAGCCCTGGTGGCACTGTCAGGTAAGCCTGAACCAAAAGGTCAGTGGTTTAGGCTCACCACCGCTCCTGTAAAGATGTATAGCTCTGAAGCCCCCAAATAGGGTCACTAGGAGCTGGAATGGACTTAATGCCAGTGGTGAATGGGTGGGTGTATTTCTTATTCTCATTGTATTCCGTGCAAAGGACAATGTCAGCCATGTAGTCCATAAATATGTTGAACAAATAAATGAAAATTGCTTATCCTAGATTTTAAATATTTTCTTCTAACTTTAAACTTTATATGAATATAAAGTTAAAAAGTTACAGTTCAAGATTTAAGAATTGTACCAAAATATTCTGAATTTCCTAATATTGTGAAATGAACTTTACATTCTTACTGTAATATTAAAAAAAAACCAAACCTCTTAACCAGCTAGCAGAATTGATTCTCAGTGACCCTACAGGATAGAACTGCTTGCTCCTTGGGGTACCCAACCCTGTAATCATTACTGAAAGAATGCCACTATTTCCTCCACAGAATGGCTCGTAGGTCCGGGATGGGGCTTGAGATTTGCCTATGACACAGTAAAATATATACTTTTTAGTATTTGTTTATTTTCCTCCATGAGAATGTAAGCGTTCTAAGGCAAGAGGAACCCTGGTGGACACCACAGGGGAAGCAGTGGTCTCTTAATAAGGTCAGTGGTTCAAACCCACCACTGCTAGGAGGGAAGAAGATGAGACAGTCTGCTTTCTGATTGGAGGGGCCAGTTAGCACAGTGCTTATGTGTTGGGCTGCTAACCCCAAGGTGAACAGTTTGAAACTATCAGAGGCTTCATAGGAAGGAGATGAGGCTTTCTATTCCCAGTTAGTTTTAAAACCCACAGGGTACTTCTACCCTGTCCTATAGGGTTTTCTGTGACTCAAAATTGACTCCATGCCATGGAGTTTGGTTTACTGACAAAACCACAACGTACATTATCTCACTGAATTCCCATCACAAGCTCTGAGAGGTGTTACTGTTATTTTCGAGAAGGGCTCTGTTACAGCAAGCAGCCAGTCTCGCTTGTGGAGTCTGTGGTTTCTATAAGATCTCCCTCCCTCTGGGTCCTTTCCCAACAAGGAGCCTGAACTCTCTTTACCAGGAACATCACTTTACCCATTGTTCTATGAAGTTCCAGGTCAGTGGATTTCTAGATGTGAATGCGGAACCCTAAAAATATACAAATAAGAATTTTGTTGTGAGGCTTTGAAAATGATTATAAGCATTTCCCCCCTTTTATTTAGAGTAGTTAACTGGATATGTATTTAATTAAGCCCTCTAAAATAGCATTACATTTAAGCAAAGAAAATTTAAAAACATAAACACAAATTCTGACTTGATTCCTTTAAATATATCATTAGGACTCAACAAACTTTATTCAAGGTTCAGATTTGCCTATGATCTGTTTTAGATCTGGGGGTCATAGAAAGATAGTCAGTGCTTCTGATCTGGGGGCTATAGAATTCTACTGCCACTGAAATCAGACAAATATCAATGGGTGTGGTTGTGTTCCTGTAACATTTTATTTGCATAACCATGGGCCATAGCTGCTGCTCTCCATGTACACACAAGTACTGGGATGAATGAGATGAGCCTGAACAAACTTGGGTAAATCTGTTAAATTTACCTTACTCTTTTGAGTTGCTTATCTCGTATTACACCAAAAACCAACACTTCTGACTTATAGTGACTCTCTATAGGATTTCTGAGGCTGTTGCTCTATCTGGCAGCAAACAGCCTCATTTTTCTCCTGAGGAATGGCTGGTGGGTTTGAGTTGTCGATCTTGCGGTTACTGGTCCAATGCTTACCTGCCAAGGGCCACCAGGGCTTCCTTGCTCTCTCATTAGAACACCTATGCTCAGTGTCATCAAGTAGACCCTGACTGAGAGCAGAGGCCACCCTGTGGATTTCTGAGACTTGAAATCTTTATGGGAGTAGAAAGCTGCTTCTTTCTCCCCTGGAGGGATTGGTGCTTCCAAATTGCTGATCTTGAGGTTAGCCGCCTGACTTAAACAAGACAATTCTAATAGTTAAAACAGTCACCTGGTAAGTTGAACTAGTTAAAAGAATGGTTGTGTTTATTTTTTTATACAGCACAAATGCAGGTGACAAAGTAAATCCATAATTCCCCACAAAACTTAGAAAGTTAACAACTAAGGATCTAAATTCTTGTAATCTTCTGCATCATTCTTAGCTACACACTCTAAGGAATCCATTAGCAGCAGAGGAGAACCTTAACTCACAGCACCAGTTTCCAAGCATTCTTACAAATGTCTCTCTTTCATTCTCTAATGCATGCCTACGAAGCATATGCCAATTCACCCTAAGCTTCAATGTATGGCCCAGCAGTTGGAAAACCAGCATTATGCTGAAGCCTAAAATGGTAATTCTACCTCTTTACTTCTTTTGTTCCCTTTGTGAATTTTTTAACCTTCAGTGCTGTCTTTTTTAACATGAATGTAAATTTGAGTTTTGAACATAATTTCATACAGATTCAGTTAACAGTTTAGGACACATCTATTTTAGGTGTCCTGAGAAAAACAAAAACATGATTGCTAGAGTTTTTCTCACAATTATTTGTTAAAAGTTACATTTAGAATTTTACAGCAAAGCAAGAATGGACTGTAGGTTCAAACGCTACAGATGAAAAACAAAATGAAACAAATTCCCGTATTTGGTGTAAATTAAGATGTAAAACCCATACATTTACAGATGTGCTTTCACTTTTTCAAGTAGGGTCTGCGGGTATTTTTAGGGTCTTGTTAACGTCAGCCCTCTGTACCCGAGAATACTGGATCCACTAAATGGTTAAGGAAAACTGGGTGAGGCTGCTGATGAAGGCTTCAAAAAGAATCTGGCACAGACACAGAGTTCAATGCCAGGGTCCATGGAACGGAAATCTTCCTTACAACTGTGCTCCGGAGAGGCTGCGGAGAGAGCGACGGATTGTTAGTTCTTTAGGCCCCCAATCCATGGTCGTGCTGTACAAAGCCTCCTTTCTTCATTCTCTGCCTGTTGTCAGTAACTTGAGAGCCTTCTGCAGATTCTGCACAGCAGTGCTGACATCTTCATATTGCAAAGCGCTGCCGGCATATTTGCAGTACTTCTGGGCTCTAGCAAAGTCCTCTGGTGTCAGACGAACGTCCCCTGGAAGAGAAGGAGAGCAGTGCATTTACAGAAGAACACGGGAAGAGTGCTGTGAGGGCAGGAGAATGTTTCCACGCAAGATTTAGGAAAGGATTTTAGGGTATGTTAAAATATTACGAAGTTTTTTTCTTTGTTGTATTTTATTTTTTACTTCCAGTTGTATTAAGCTAATTTTCTTCTTGCTTTTCAAGTTCTTGCTAGCACTAATATAAACCACAGACATGTTCATACATAACTTATACATTTCCCTTTAAGCAGAAATCAACTGGAAGCCTTTAAATCAGCAAATTAAAGACATCCTGATATTCTCTTTGAACCAGGGCAGTAACCTGGTGTTCATGCTGGCCCTGCTTAGCACTTCTCTCCATGGAACAGCACACAGACACCACCAGGCCGCCCTGGTTGAGCCAGCACACAAACACCACTCACCAACAGGAGGGACAATGACCTTTACTTATACAGTGGCATAGCCACTTTATCATTTTCTTTAATGCATGACAATATTCTACACATTTGTGTGTCATTTGAATTAAAAAACCTTAAGGTTTATTACTAAGATTTCAGAACTAAAATGAAAAATTAAACATGCAAATTATGTTTTTTTACAGATTATTTCTTCAAGATGTATTTTAAGTTTTCGAGTTAAACACATGGCCCTCATGTACTGATTAATCTGAGTCAAAACCACCCCACCAAAGAACAATACTACTCTAAAAACAAGCTCATTTAAGATGTGAAGACTTAGCTGTGTATTTCTAAAGATGAACTGACTGTGGAGTTTTTTGGTTGGCAATAAAAACTTCTTTGGAAAATTTTAAATGATGATTATCAGAAGAACTGACCAGAAGTCTGGGGTGCAACATAGAATGAACAGATAGTGTGGTGTTTTGATTCCGAAGGCCTGTGTTTGTAAACAAAGGTCTGCTTAATTTCCCAGACTAATAGCACAGATAGAGAGCATAAAATGAACACTCTGAAATTAGTTATGTATGGGCTTCAAAACTGGTAGCAACACCTGGTATTATAATAAATTATAATCTGAAAGTATTTTCTAAGCATTTTGAAAAGACATACTCTATCCCAAGGGTCCGGTCTGCTGAAGGAGCACAAGCATATGACTGAATGAGTTTGAAAAGCTGCCTGGGCCTTCAATTAGTCCCTATCTTAAAACAAATTCCCTTGTAATGAGACACTGATTGCACTGCAGATTGCAATAATGATGCATTCGTATGTCTGTATACAGTAACAAGTACCCAAACCCACCCACTTAGCGCTACCGAGCCCATTCTGACAGCAACCCTAACCAGCGCTCGTGAACCTTTATGGGGCAGACAGCCTCACCCTACCCTCTCCCAGAGTGCTGCCTGCCGGCGGCTTCAGTGCCATCTTGACGTTAGCAGCCCAACGCCTCCCCCACAGTGACCTGGGGCTCCTTCTGAAAAGCGCAGTATGTTCAAAATAAAACTCTTGAAATGTCTGTTAAATTATTATTACTGAAGACAATGCCTATCTATATCCTTCCTTGCTGTTGTGTATCAGATATTATCCAGCCCAATTTTATGAGGAAGTATTTTGATTTGATTGTTTTCTTCCTTTTAAAAAGCAAGGCAAATCAATAAACTAGGTAAAAGTAACTGTATTAAACACACAAATAAAAAACCCCGAAGTTTCTTCACAGTAGGACTTTTCATATTTTGGTGGCTTAGCATTTGTTCCTCATGAAACATAAACAATTACGCTGAGGCTGAGGACAGCTTAGGCATGTTTTGGCCTGGGTTTTTTTTACAGCCCCTAACACCCTTGAAAATACTTGCCAAGTTATTTCAAGTGTTATTCAAAATATTTTAAGAAGTTCTACACACACACACACACACACACACACACACACACACACCCTGATCTGAGTAAGTAAGACACCTTTAAAAATCAAGGGTAGCTTAATTCTGTGTGTTAAGTTTTTCCCCTTCAAACTCATATATGGCACTAGGCCAGGATTTACCAGACCTGCAGGAAGAAAGCCTTAAAGATCAAGATATTAATGTTATTTTTACAGTATTAGCTTTAGTACTGTTTTGCATGACACACTACTTATTAAAGTTATCATAGCAAGAACTCTGTGACTATTTTACTAGTTATAAATTACACTTGCCCACTAATGATAAAACTATTTAAAACACAGCTATTTATTCTAACAGAAAATTATTTCAACATTTATAAAAATGGATATGAAAATACTTTAATAGAAAAATCTACCTGTGTGTGTGTGTATGAACACTAATGGTGTAGTGAGTCAGAAGTTCAAATCCACCAGTCACTCTGCATGATAAACAGGAGCTTTTCTGCTCCTGTAAAAATATATAGGCTCGAGAACCCACAAGGGTCGTTATCCAGTCCTGCTGGGCCACTGAGTCAGCACGGACTTGGTGGCAGTGATATACACACAGCTCAGAGCCACTTCTATCTTCTTTTTTACTCTTAAGTTAGTATTCCCTCCCCGATGAAACACACAAAGAATCGTCTTGCACTAAGCCATTTGGGTTCCAATGTCCTTCTAACTCTTGATCGTGAGCTTCCCAGCTACTTCTCTTTAGGTAAGACAGGGAAAAGTAAGTAAAGAATATAAAGACGAAACCCACTGACACCTAGTTGATTCTGACACACAGTGACCCTATACGGGGTTTCCAAGACTGTACATGTTTCTGAGTATATAGGTAGCTCTCAGCTTTCTCTGCAGGGGCAGCTAGCTGTTTTGGTTTGAACTGCTGACCTTGTGGTTGGTTATCTGCCAGTGGCACCAGGGTTCCATAGGTAAAGCATAAACTACATTTAAACAGAAAAACCAACACATCCTGAGTGCTTGGGGACAACAACATCTCATCGGCAGGAATAAGTACACTGGGCTCTGCTTCCGACTGCACATCTGGCCATACCTCATCATTGCAAACTGATTTTAGATTCGGAACTAACTACAGATAAATCGTGCAGTGTCCGCTGAATACAATGGAATCTGAATTAAAATAACACACTATCAATAATCTGTTATACATTCAAAATTACATCACTTGATCCACGAGAAAGAATCATGTTGGCAGTCCTATTCCACTCAGCATAGTATTATGTCTTGCTCTTGTCCCACTGCTGTTGAGTGGATGTTACTCACAGCTACCTGCTAGGATGTAGTAGAACTGGCTCGCAAGGCTTCCAGCTTACCGTATTTACAGAAGTAGACTGCCACATTTTTCTCTAGCAGAGCAGCTGGTGGTTCTCTGACCTTCCTATTCGCAGCCAATCACTTTGACCAGGATTCATAAATAATTAAACAGATTTGGACAAACGTATGGGTTTACACCGTTAAGTAGTCATCTACCCTGCATCTTCTCACACCACTTTAAACTATTTTTATATTTTGTCCTCTCTAAAGTTACTTCTCTAAGCCTAATTGATAATCGTGTATCATTGGTTCTTAGTTTGTCAATCTTCAGATTTTCTCCACCGACATCACACTATGAAACAAAGATTCGGCTAACGTACATTACACTCTTCCCTCCTTTCTGGACCAATCTCCAGTATCTGTTAGTTTTTTTAGATTCTTTAGTTGGTTAGTATTACCATACAGGTTATTAAATAATGCATTTTAACTGGTTTCTTTTTCTATCTTCAGGAAAAAATACTAAACAAAACACCCCAAAGAATCTTGACATTCCACTTCTAAGCCTTCCTCCTGACAATTTTCTGTCATTCACTTAACATTCCACCTTTTGGAATAAATATCCCTACTTTCATTGTGAGGGTTGACAGTATGAGGAGGGATTCAAAAAGTATGTGGAGCAATGTTTGCAGGGCAGTGAATTATTTAATGTAGCTCTCCTAGTCATGGTCTCTGCAGTCCCAATCAAATGACCTTACCCTGTTGGGTCTGGGTAAGAGAAGGTGAGGGAAGACACGGATAGGATTCAGTTGTGAGTGCTTGTTAACAGGATTCATCATGATTGCCATCAGGTTGGAATAAAATTAGCCCTTTCAAAAGTCAGATGGGGAGGGATCTCACTATCATCAAAAGCTCAGAGAGGAGCGTGTTCTCTGCATCCTGCAGTCCCAGGGGAGGGAATCTCCTAGATGAAGTAGGCAGCTTTGAAATCAGAGGAGTGTCAGGGGAGCAACAACAGAACCAGGAGCCAGACCAAGAGATAGGTGGTGGACTTCCCAGCCCACAGAACAAGTAAAGCTGAGCACGTTAGGGCAGGAGGCCAATTTGGGGAGGGGTGTCTAGGTGGAGTGTGGGAGCTAGGTGTCTTCAGGTTGAAGCTCACAGTGGAGTGGTATGCCCTTTGGGCATTTATTAGCAGCCCTGGAAACACTTTCTAACATACCCTGGCTGAACAACTATACAAGGAACATTGTTCATGTGTATTAAAACCTATAAACTTCCTTAAAAAAATTATTTCATCACGACTAGCCTGTGAGTTCTTTGTGGCCAGTGCAACGAAATACTAAAACCTAAATGAGTAAGTAGAGAATGTCGTGTGTGATAGTGCGTGATAGAACCGTTCCATTATCTTTTCATTCGGTTTTCAATGTGAACCCTCCCCTGCCCCCTTTATTTATATCCTGCCTTTAAATTATCTGTGCTCTTTGATAAGTCACATGCCATTTGAAGGAGAATGGTTTTGTGTTCAAGTCAAAGGAAAGCCCTTCCGTTACAATTCAAAACCCTTTGACCACGATGCTTGAACTAATGGAACTATGCATTGTAACAATATCTATAAGAACACCTATTAAAACGTTAAAAGAAAAAAAATTATGTTTATTTCTTACTTGAAATTCCTTATATAATTTTTCTTTTTTTCTTTTATCTTTTAAGACTTGTTTTCTTAATTATTTCTTCATATTCTACAGCTTCTCAAATATGTATTGCATAGGATCCATTTTTCTTAACAAGTGGAGCTCTCTGATTTCCCGTTCTAATTTCAGAGTGGTTGTTCATCTACCAAGTTTACTCCTACAATTAAGGAGGGCACTTCTGAAACTGTGGAATAAACCGCCTAGACCAGTGGTTCTCAACCTTCCTAATGCTGTGATCCTCATGTTGTGGTGGTCACCCCCCTACCAATAAATTATTTTCGTTGCTACTTCATAGCTGTATTTTGGCTACTGTTACAAATCGGGTGACCCCTGTGAAAGGGTTGTTCAACCCCCAAATGGGTTGCGACCCACAGGTTGAGAACCGTTGGGCCCTAGACAAATTTGAGTTCCTTCTTACACAGAGATAGAAAAATCAAATGGGAACCAAATTTGCCGACATAACACTATTTCTTCCAAAGAAAACTCATCAGGTATTAAAATTATCTACCAAGTTTTCTGTTCTAAATATGAAAAGACTAATTCTCATGGGGTATATGAAATAAATATTTTGAATGAGATAAACACAAGTGACAGGGAGGAGGTAAGAGATAAGCCAGAAAAGTGGGAAGCATTAAAATCAACAAACCAATCACCGAATCTGTGATACAACAAAAATAATCATACTCTATATCTCTATCTTCAACAATGGTTAGTACTTCTGTGTGCAGCTAATCGAATAACAGTGCAGCTGAAAAATATCATTATCAGAGCACACAGTCATTTTGAACTTCTGAACTAATCTTCTGGCATAAGCTTACTTGAGAACCTTCGCTACCTGTCTCTGCCATTATATACAGTAATAGAAACAAAAAACACAACAAACACAAACTCACTGCTCTTGAGTTAATTCTGATTCATAGTGACCGAGCGAAAGCCTCATCTTTCTCCTATGGAGCGCCTGGTGGGCTAGAACTGTTCACTTTGAGGTGAGTAGCCCAATTTGTAATCCACTCTGCCACCAGAGCTCCTTACAAAAGGAAGAAAGAGGAGGGCAGGGGAAGGAATGCCTTTGAGCTTTGATCAGCTGATTATCTTGTTCCATTTGAGAATCAAGTAAACGAAGATATTAAAGGAAATGTCTTTCAAATTACCTAAATATTCAAATTTAAAGAACACCATTTAAATGTACACTGATGATGTTCCTAAGGTAATATTACAAAATAACATTCCAAAACAAGGGATACGACATCTCATAAAACAGCCAGTGGACTTACCCTGGGGGACTGTACTGAAGAGTGCAGGGTCAATCGTTGGGAGAGTCTGTGGAGTGGGTTGGATAGTATTACTTGTTACACCTGCAAAGCAGAAAACCATGAATAGGTTGGAAAGTGTTATTTATTATATCTAGAGAGCACATGAAGGCTGATGGAGGAATTTCATTACTTCATTTAATGCTTTTCTTGAAAACATAATGGATTCTAATTTTGTTTACGTATTTGATATTGGAGCTTATAAAGAAAATAGGCAGGAAAGTTCACTGAGGGTTTGCATACATGTAATTGGCTATACATTTTCTATTGTATATTTTGTTGGCTAGTATTTCAACTAGCTTCTGAATTAAAGCTTACTAAACATCTGTAAAAATAAGAGACTTCCTTCATGTCCTTTGACTGTTTAAGACAGCAGTTCTCAATTTGTGGGTGGCGACTCCTTTGGGGGTCGAATGAGCCTTTTACAAGGGTTGCCTGATTCATAACAGTAGCAAAATTACAGGGATGAAGTAGCAACGAAAATAATGTTATGGTTGGGGGTCACCACAACACGAGGAACTGTATTAAAGGGTCACGGCATTAGGAAGGTTGAGAACCACTGCTTTAAGAGATTCCACCCAGTGGACTCCACCTTGAACTCATACACAACAGAGGGTTCCTAGTCCTACATTGCCCTCGTAGTCATCAGCATGCCTGAGTCCACTGTTGCAGTTAGCATGCCAACCCACACAACCAAAGGCCTCCCTTGCCCGCTCTGTCCTCTCCTTGACCAAACACCATGCCCCTCCGCCACCAGTGACTGATTCTTTCTAATGACATGATCCAAATCAAGTCACGCAATGTTCACTTGTGATCCGTAAAGTTTTCCTGGCTAATCTTCGGAAGGAGATCATCAGGTCTTTCTTTTTACTTTGTCTTAGTCTTGTAGCTCTGTTAAAACCTGTTCATGATGGGTGGCGTGTCCACAATAGTATTTCAATATTGGCGATATAGCTTCCAGCATCAAAGCAACATGCAAGCCATTAACAGTACAACACTGGTAAACTGGTGCTGGTTTAACTTCTTAGCTAATTACATAATGTTGGGGACAAGGTGGGATATAAGTATATTTTAATTTATGAGGTACTATTTTATCACTTGCATGCAATTATAAATTGTATATTCAAATTTAACAGATTATAAAATTTTAAGACAATATTTTTATATGTCAAATAAAGAATTACTTTTGACTTCTTGCTAGAACTTGTAATTACTATCCTATTTCATAAATATCCAGCACTCTTGGTTAAGCTAAGAAATATATAAAAATTATTAGTGGTCTTAAAAAACGTACCAAAAAAGGATACTTCATACTTCCTCAAAGAAACGTAATGATTCAATTACCAAGAAAAGGATATGAAGAACAGCTGTTTATTCCAAATCAATTCAGTCAAACGGTCTTTCAACAGAGGGTTCACTTGCTCCATGTTATTAGATTTACATTTGAATAGTCAATTTGTAGTAAAGATAGAGGGAAAGCCAGTGAAAAGAACAAAAAAAAAACCAGAGGCCAGGAAACAAGTAGGCCAATTCCAAGACCATGATACATAGTCAAGGAGAGTCTAGAATGATCAATTCACAATGGATGGCTGAAGGTCCAAAGTAAGGTGACCAGACGTCCCGCTTTTGGCGGGACAGTCCGGATTTTTAACAAATTTTCCTGCGTCCTCCGGTGTTTTAAAAAAGTCCCGATTTTTGGAAAGAATGCAAGACAAGCTAGGGTATACGGTTTTTGGCTGCCATGTGGCTATTTCACCAGGATATGAGTTTAATCAATGGTGTCCCGCTTTACCAATGTTTAAATCTGGTCACCTTACCTAGGGCATATGCCATTTTGAATGCAATGGACATTCCCATCATCAACCCAAGTGAACAGATAGGTTAAATATAGCCGATTTTATCAAATCTGCTTTTGTTTTAGGGCAAACTACCATATATACTTGAGTATATATGACCTGAATATCAGCTGAGGTATCTAATTTTACCACACAAACTGCATAAAAAATGTGCTGAAAAACTCAGCTTATACACGGGTATATATGGTATTTTTGAAACCGAAAAATATTACCCCTTTTAATTCAAAGTTAAATTAACATAAATAGAAAAGTACAAAAAATAAATAAAAGGTGAAAAACCTATTTCTCATTTCTACTCCCATGGAATTGTGAGTGATTATCATCACTTTATACATACACATACATACGAGTCTGGTCCAGTCTGTATTCATCAATGCTGTTCCTTGTTATCTGTGTTTTTGCCCAAATAAAATCTCCCAGACCAACTGTTTTTCTCTATGGAGAGGGTGTACTATTTTGGCAAGCACCCTATATTAACATTTATATGTTTATTTCTAAATGTCCATGTAGTTAATTACATAAGCAATATTAACAGGACCTAACAGTAGAATATACAGGGAGAGAAACTAATTATTTTGTAAAATCTGATGTGAGACACACACAGACACACGGTGTGCACCTTATGAAGTATTTGTGGTCAGTTAGTTAGCTAAAAACTTGAACAGGACACACAGGCTGCTCAATGTGCCTCAAAGATGCAGCTGCTCAGTATTTGAAAAGGATTGATTGCTTGGCAGCTCTCATGAGCATGCTCTCACCAGGACCTAGTCTACCAGCTCAACATGAGCTCAATACCTACTTGTTATATGAATAAACTAGGTGTTATTTAATTTTTGTGATGGACTACCTAGTTATTTCTCTGTGTTTCTTGATTTGGACAGGTCTCATCTGTCAGTTTGCAAATGGGTTGCAGGCCCTTCATAAATATTATGTTGTAGTAGTATAATCATAACACTCCTGGGAAAAGCAAAACTGCATGGGGAAATTCTATTATTGACTGGGGGTGAAAAAGTGCTCACAAGTAATTACTGCCTAATTTTTTCAATAGCATATTTGACATAATTAGCACACACTGAAGTATTACACCGGAAGAGATTTCTAGTTAATTACAAAGTTGTCCAACTGACTTAACTGTGTGGGAACTCAGGAGAGGGAGAAATAGGTGCTGTTTATGAAACTTAGCCAACAGATGTAATTTAACAGGATTCTGCCAATGAAGCAGCAGAGAAAAATGGAAGCGGACTAGCATCATCAAAGGGAAGACTGCAAACCGAAAGCTTCATGTACTCATGGAATGTGGGTGGCATTGGTAGAAATGGTCTGGTCAGAAGCTCACCAGTCTTAAAAGCCTTACACAACTCAAACACAATACTTCTGGTACTAACAAAAACACCACCGACAAAGAGGTAAGTCTCCAGCTTATATATGAGGTGAGATTGCATTTACAAAACAAGCTTAGTATTAATGATAACAAATTCTGTTTTCAATATGTTTTGAATAATATAGCTGCTGATATCTTTCATTATAATTTTTGACTATGTAAAGTATGCTTCATAAGAAAAAAAAAAACAGGACTCTAAAAAGTTCGGGAAAAGCATTCTACTTTTCTAGGAAATTCTTGAAGTACCCTCATAAGGGCCCTGTGGTTAAAGCACAAGAGGCAAACAGTCTCTTGTTTAAACAATCACCATCCCTACCTTCTTTGCATTTTTGGGGGAAGAAGTAAAAACTGTGTATTAGCACATTCTATTCTTCTCAGCTATCTTAAGGATTTCCCTTTGATAACACTGCATCCTGTACCTTTATATGAGAGAAAGTAAATCATTTTTAAAGTAAGTAAGAGGGGAAACATCTGCTATATTTATAAACTAGAAATGTTAATTTCATTTTCTAAGGAACTCTGAACTGTGTTCTTAAAGAATTTTTAAAAAGCTGTCATAAATGTAACAGAAATAATTTTGGCAGCTATGAGGAGGAGAATCTAATAATGCCAACTAACCCAATCTTGAGAAACATAAAAAAGTAGGTTTTGATTCTATAGGGTTTTTGTTCCTTGAGGAAGGCACATGGAAGAGAAGTGGCAAAAACACAAAGTTAGGGATTTGGGGGCTCATATTCTGGGTCTGTTACTTACTAGGTATATTTGTATGTTTATTGTCTTCAGATACTAATAGCTTAACCTTTTAGAGACTGTAAATTATGCAACACATCTATATAGTTGTTGCAAGCAATATGTGTGTAAAGTAGCCATGACACTTATGAAGCTACTAAGTCTAAAGGGTCTATAAACAAGACAGGACCTTATCCAAAATGTTCTCAGGTTTAAAAACTTAGCTCCATCCTCTTTGGGAGGCACAAAGAAGTGAACAGGTGAAGACCACACACTCAACTGGATCAGAATGATCTGTTCACGTCAGAAAACCTCTTGAACACTAATTTCAATATCAAGGGGATGATTTTTATTTGCTTCAAGCCTATCAAATTACCAATCACTTGTCATTTTGGCTTACAAATGATAATTTAATATGGGCCAACTCAATTCAGCCCTCCTATGAGAAGTCTGTTCTCCCTCTCCCATGTATACACCTGGTATGTCCATGTATATACCTGGTATGATCAACATGTATGTGCCTGTATCACAACCCTGCTTTAAGACTTATCGTCCAAAGCAGCCTTCCTGAAAGTTAGCATCCTGCCTTCCTTGATTCACAAAAATACCGTAAGTTTTCATTAATTTGCAATTAAATGCTCTATCTCTTTGGCATAGGAATAGGAAGGAAGAGGGAAAAGGAAGTTAATATACTGAACAAGACACATTTTGTGAAAGGCACAGGACTAGTCAACGCTCAGATTTCTCCCCGATGAAAAATGGAAAATGAGTAGTGAGTATGATCAATTTCATGTTACAAATAGCAAAACCCAGGTTGAGTGACGTTGAATTATCAACTGAGTTGATAAGCTGGCAAAGGGCAAAAATTAATAAGCATTATTATTTGACTCCAAAGTAGACATTATTCTTATAGCACCCCTGTGTGAGAATGTCCTGTATCTTTATTTATCTAGGGCAAATAAATATACCTAAGTAACTTACATTATTCCAGAATGGAAATACTGAATACTCCTATAAGATAATAAAATACCTAAAAGTGTTCTGTGAAATTTTACTTACAAAACATATTCAAACTAGTTTATTGACGTCAATGATAGACCACAGGGCATGGAAAAGTCTGTGTAAATGTACAGAATGACGACACACAAGAGATCAGTGGTCATTTTTATCAATGATTTCAGAGAATACTATAAATTAACAATATTTATAGATAATGCAAGGTGAAAAGTTTTTAAATAGAATGAATTAGACTAATCATTATTACTGCTAAATAGTAAAAATACAGAACTTTTCATGCTAGTTAACTCATGTAAAAGGTAGTGCATGGCTGGAAAAAAATGATATTGGCCAATGAAAGTCAATGACATAATAGGGTGCACTGTTTTCTGACATTCACAATAAGCTCAAATGGGGTCTACAAGATTCAGGAAGTGACCGTCACATCACTGAAGTATTATGAACTGTTTATGTAGTTTAGCATAAGGGACCACCTTCATGCTGGAATAAAAGTAAAATATTAAGACTATTTCTTTTTTCAGACCAAATGCAGCTGTCTTTATACTGCCAAGGTACACAGTACAGAGAATTCTGCTGTATATTCCCATGAAGAGCACCACGCTTAAACCCAGCAATGGCCTCCACCACCCATCTTCACACTGGTCAGAGTTCTTCTCACTCGGGTCCTCGATGCTTTCCCCTTCGCTCTTAGCGCTACTTCATCTTCAGTGCCTTCATGTCTTCCTCAGGACTCTTAGCTTTCTCCATCAGCAACATTTCTTCAGTAAGTGGGAAAAGCTCCTTGGCCTTGGGATGTTCTGGTTCATAGATTAGAATCACCCGACTTGCCGGCTGGCAGTCTTGTTTGTTCCGGCTCTCACAAGCTCATTGACTCTAACGGGGCATGAATAACTTTATTAGGGTTCCTGGTTTCATCATGCTCATCACTGGTATCATCTTCTCCATCAGCATCTGTTCATTCCGACAATTTACCCTTAGTGTCCTGAGGGCAATATTTGTTATTTGCAATGTTTGCATCTTCTCCCACTGTACCTGTGCCTTCTTTTAAGAATGAAGATGACCGGAGCTTAGACTGTCGGTTTATTAATGTGTCTTCATTTCCAGGACTCTTCCAAGATACTCTATTGTCAGTATTTTTTAAAGAGACTTTCTTCTCATTATTCACTAAAGAGACGTCCTCTCCTGACATTGCTTCATTTGATTCACTCATCATTTTCTCCTTTGGATCAAACTCTCACAAATTGTCATCCTCTCTAAGTTTTGTACCCATTTGAACCTCTTTCACACCCCTCCGAAGGGCACACACAGACAGCAAGCCTGGAGAGGCGGGGTGAGGGCAGGTGAATCCTGGCAAGACGCTGAAGGAGTGGGATCTAGGAGATTTAAGACTATTTCTTGGGGCATGGTGGGGCATGGACAGACGGGACGGGAACCATAAAAAATTAAACCTAAGACTTAAACCATGGTTTTAGGATGTCCTATTCAGACAGATAGCCCTGGTGGGGTAGTGGCTACGTGTTGGGACCCCAGCTGTTCCCAGGGAGAGAGATGACGCTTTCTACTTTTGTGGACTTGCACTTGAGGAACCCTCAGGGGCAGCTGGATGCTGTCTTACAGGGTTGCCAGGAGTCAATTGACTGGATGGCAGGGAGTCTGGAGCTTTTATTCAGAACTATATGAAAGAGTATGTGCAATTTTGTGAAAGTGTACTTAATCTACTGACATTTACTTATTACTGGGGACTAGACCTGCAAGACTTTTATTGATGAAAACACAGATGGACAGCACTAATTTATTCAAAATGGCTAATATCATTTTACTCCAACCATTTTATATCCCTCACATAAGTTGAATTGTATTAAAAGTTAAATATGGGTGACTAAAAGTTATATATGTGTGACTCAAATATATTTATATATTATTATGTACACATACTTCATAAACATATATTTTAGTCACACTTATAATATTAAAAATGTAGCCTGCCACAGATTCCATAACAAATGAAATTCTGCTTCTCAAACTCTCCTTTCACCAACATCAATAAAACTCCCATCCAATGCAAGAGGTAGAACGTTTAGGAAAATCAAATCTTGCTAGCACTGTGGGTCTCAGACTGACAGTTGGTGGAATAAGCCCCATTCCTCTGAATGCTTTTCGTGAGAAGTATCAACATACACAGAAAGCACAGGAGCTACTCTTACAAATAAAGTATAAGGCGAACAGTCATGATACATGCATGCATGCTCTGCCCTATCTTAAAAAAAAACAACCCTGTAATATAAAACATCTAAGATTTCATGTTTTTATGTGGGTTCAAATGGAACTAAGGATCTTACTATGTTTCATTATGCGGGGCACATAAGATAAACAGTGCAGTTCTTGCTCGTATTTATGAAAGGGAAGTTCAAAGCTTTTCATTTCCTACCTGTGCTGTGCGGCACCTCTGCTGGCGTATTGGCTGGAGCGTGTGCACCAGGTGGAATCTGTATCCCGGTATAGCTGCTTGATGGCATGTTGCTTGGGTCATAAGTTGAAGATGAGGACTGAGGTGGTGGCGTGGGCAGAGACGTGGCTCCAGCATCTTCATTTTCTTCATCATCTACTGCTCAATATAGACACAATTTAAAACTAAGCACTGAGAAGTAAAAATAAAATATGTCTATTCTGCTAAGCATACCGTAAACATAAAAACCAGAACCTTCAAATGTAACTCTACTTAATAATGGTTGATAAGTACACTCTTTCTCTTAAAATAACGGTTCTAGATTTTGTTTCTTAAAATTTTTAATTGTTCATGATAATAAGATTATCATTTCTTTTAGATACTAACTTAACAATTCAATAAATTAACTGTTTGCCTTAAAATATACTCTTTGAACATATTTGAAAAACAGAGGACATTTTAAAGCAAATACAGTAAGTATGCTATCTGGGAAGAACATGATTT